ATTCATATGTTGTATGGACAGATAAAGTTTTCTCACTTAGACAGTCCCTTTGTGAAACTTGGCCGTGCAATTCGCCACTTGAATGTTGCATGAAAAGTGTATGTTCTTCCAAATACACTCATGTTTATAATTAAATGGAAGAGGTGTGAATTTTCCGACATTTAGGAGTACAAATTTGTCTCGAAAGCGCCTCGAGACTTCCACGGAGAAGCACACACTTCGGGAGCAAAACACAACCTTTCAGTGCCTCTTTGTGCACCTTAATTGAGACAAAACAAGGTCGCCAGGAGCAAATCCTCCCCTCCCACCCATTAATCTTACCCCCAAATAAGAAATGCTGCACTTGCGCCTACAAATGACTTCCGCACGAGGTGATACAGTGCGAGAATCAGAGTGAGATGGCCCAGAGTGCACGAGCGGAAGTGTGGTGCGAGTTTGGGGCATTAAAACTTGTGGCACATTAATAATTCCATTTGCCTGTATCGCGCGCTCAATGGGCGTTTCACGTTGCACACGAGAGCCGGCAACCGCAAAAGGCTGCCATTTGTGCCAGCGTGTAGAACATAGGGCAATAAAATGGGGCCGCCGCCCGGGTGCAGTGCGCTGGGGTGGGTGGGTGGGCAGGATCTTATCACAGGAGCACCATCTTAATTTTCCCACGATTTGAATCGTGTTCCGCTGACACACCCTCACTGTCTTGCCCCCTCGCGCGCCGGGGCGCGTCTTGCCGCACGTCTTGAGAAAGTATTTCCCCCATCGCGCCCCCCAGTCGCGCGTGCACGGCGCCCTGCGGGTGCAGAGATACTGTTTTGAGGGTTGTTCGGTGTGGCCAAAGTTGTTTGTGTGAGTGTGAAGTTCGCATGCAAAACAGCAAAGTGCAATATTAGTTTCTCACATAAAGCACCCAATGGGGCCAAGGAGGGAATAAGGACGGACGGGCAGGGAGAGTTCTGGCGGCAGTCGCCTCTTCAATTGTGAGCTTGAGACGCCAGAAGTGGGGCTTTCGTGCTTAAGTAGACGTTGATTAACACTCCTCCGGGAGCGCTCCACATGAACACTGACCCAAATTTATTATCTTGCGGCTCTGGGTGTGTTTAATAATAACGAGAATGGAATCTGTGTGTGATATTCGACGGCGGAGCATTATCTCAGATTTTGATCTTGGGGCATTATTAGGGAAAATGAACGGGGAAAATGTGAGAGGGTTGCAGGCGTGCGTCGGACACATGAATTAATGGCCCTCTGATGGACTTTCAACTGGGTCTCCGCAAGTCCTGGGCATCGCTTCACCCCATGCGATGCAAGACATGCCCGAGCAGTGCTGATTCCAGAGGAAGACTCTCGCTTATCGACATGAGGCAGCAATGGCAGTCTGATGTGGAGCCAATCATCCCAAAATACCCCCCTTCCCCCGCTCACGGCCATTCCGATGGAATATGTGCACGATGGGGTGGTGAACTTGCCCACCAGATACAAAGCCCAAGAGAGCGACGCCAAGCCAAAACAACTAATTTGCATTTCTCCATACGCCACACAAATTTATTTCCCATGAATCAGCAGGATTTTGACATCCTGAAAATATCTCACAGCCTGGCGTCTTTCTCGATGCCAGGCACCACTGGCGCACTCAGCACTCGCCCCTCACGCCGGGTGAGAACAACCCAGAAAGAAGCAGCACATATTTTTCTCCAACACCACCCGAGGGGTGTTCAACTGCGTCGATTTTGACGTCCCATTGTGGTCACCGCCGGGGAGAAATCTTTGACACTTGCGGTCTTACTTGGCACAGCAAGAAACCATGAATTACTCACGCTCTGCAGATCTCATGCTCGCAGTGCTATTTGATATTCCTGCGGTCTGTCGGACTGCTTAAATTGCAATTCACATGGGTAATATGAGAAAAATAGCCATTTTCCCACAATATTCCAACCACTCTGCTTGCAGCAGCTTTTCCTCCAGGAATCTGAAATCTGACGCGACGATCCAAAACCCCCGATCGTGTGTGTGTACGGAGATTGATAACAGATGTCACTGCTGTTTCTGGCCAATCGTTCGCCCTGGCATTTTCACTAGTACATTATTTTAACCAATTTAGACATTACCAAGGTTCCCCGGCAATGAGCATAACTTAAGGTAATGGGCAAGAAAGCTCGCTTGGGCGCCCCTGTGCACTCTCCCCTGCGACGTGGGCGGGTTGATGTGAGTCAAAGGGGTTAACGGCAACTGTGAGAGTGTGTTTGTATCGATTTCTTCGCGCCAATTTTCAACTTTGTTGACACAGATGTGCGCCAAAGTGAGTAGAGAGTCTCTTACTCGCCCCCCAGAAACTTCTCGCCCTAACACTTCCGATCTTGCTGCTCTCTTCACCATTCCACCACTGAATGTTGTTACCGAAAACCCATTCAGTGTTCGGGGTGAAAGTACACCCCAGTGCTGCCTCAATATCAAACAATTTCTCTCTTTGGGGCCCATTCTACCCGCCATGATGTGAATTTTGCGCCAAAACTGCCTTTATACTATAAAATGGGCTGGGTGGGAAAGTTTTTAATTTATGGCTTACACACACATTTCTCACGCTCACCCTTGTTTTCACTCCCTGAATCTCCTCCGGCGGCTCTTTCTTTCCCTGCCACCACTTGGCCCATGTTGTCGTGGAAAAGTACAACAATCAAGACCACCATTACAGCTATCCTAAATTCTTAATTATAATTCACATTTATGCCACACACACCTCTGCTCGGAAAGGCATCCGACCCAACAATAAATAATAACTGCGTGCGCGAGTCATGAACCCTTTTCTCACGGAACACCCCAAACCACCCCCCAATATCAATTATGAGTTTTACCACGCGCTCGGCGAATTTATTGTTTAACAACACATTTCACAAGACCAAGCAATTCCTATCTTATTTACACTCCACAGGGCGACTCACCCACGCCCAGCATGCACTCCATTGAAAGAGATTGCACTCAATTTATTTTCAATACATTTTAATTACATCACGATTCTCGAGTGTGAAAAAGGCTCCGTGCACACACACACATTGTTCAACTTTCAACTGCAAGTTAGGAAATTCATGGGGAATTGACTGTATTCGTTTGCACGTTAATTGGATTATTAGTTTTGAAAGTAGTTTAGCAAAACTGTTCTCTCTTGCCATACTGAAAAATTCAGTTTCCATCCCTCATTTCAACCACCAAGCAGCTGAGTTGCGTTGTTAGCAATTGCAAAAAAAAATGCATAATCTCATAATGAAGTCATGAATAAATTTGATTTTTGCCACCGAACTCAATTCAGCATTAATATTCTTATTATATTATTTGTAATTATCTTGCTGTTCGCGCCGTGAAAATTGCATTTCAAATTGATTAAAAATTATGGTGCAAAATCAGACAACGAAGAAAGTGAAACAAGACAGTAATACAGAACGATGCTGCACTTTTATCAGCACAAAGCATGTCTATGGTTACATGAGATATTAATCAGACCAAGTAACTTTTCATGGGTTCACTGCAATGTATTGCCAGTTGGGAATTTTGAAAGGCAATTCACTTTACATGAGAGATAATGGATGGATGTTGAAATACTCAATGATATTCAGCTGCGGAGTTCTGACGAGGAAACATTGTGGAAAATGTTGTAGAAAAATGAATTATTAATGTTTGTGAAAGACAGCTCTTTTGCGGGGGAAAAAAATTAAAATAAAATGATAAATTTCCATCTCACTGACTTCTTCGCATGACTTTCCCTCCCAGCCTGAACTCGTTGGCTCTCCTCGCGAGTGAAATACATTAGCATCGCCGAGCAGCGTGGAAAAGCTCCGCACCTAATTCACTGATTGTATGAGTTTAATGTTAAATAAACACCCGTGTTGTATTTAGTTGAGGATAAGTTCAACAAGAAATCCCATCGCGCTGCTGTGCTCGCGCGCCCGAAGCCCTCATTGCAATTTTGCCATTTTATGAAGATGGATAATTTCGGGTGACTAATATTTGTAGTGCGGGCGAGCGCGCTGGTGGCACGCGAAGCGGGGTGAAACATGTTCATTTCGCGACGATGATAATGCGCGATGTAGAAAATGAGTGGAGTAAAATAAATAAGAAGTGTGGTGGAAAATGTTCTCTGGTTCGTTATCGCTATTTTAGAGCCACCAAATACTCATAATCCCGGATTAACTTTCACGCATGCTTTGCAAACAAAATGCTCTGGGTAAATTCATATCAAGATGATATCATTAAAATTGTCACTCTGTGCAATATTTAGGCTCAAGAGTGTGCGTTGCGCCAAATGGATGATGGGATTACATCTCTGTTTTTCCGTTTCCTCATTTCACCTCATACGCCTCATCTCTCTCTCTCTCGCTTTTTTCCCTCTGTGCGCTTTCCCACCCTCTCGTCAATATATATAAAAGTTGCCTGTGTGAAAGGGAATCTCCATGGAATTCAATTACATAGTCACAATGTGACTAAATGTCCCTTTTTTATCCTCCTCTACTTTATTATTATGTTTCACCCACATATGGTGGCTTAGAGCTTTGCCTCCCTTCTGGCACTGATTCGCAGAGAAAGATTGACTGATGATGTGATTGAGCGGTGAAGGAATTGTCTTCAGACTGAAATTACATTCGCCACTAAGACTCCTCAGACGAAGGCTCTGAAAACTGACGTGCGAAGAGGTCTGGAAATGTGCCAGAAACACTTAAACACACAACAGAATAAATTATTTGCATTGAAAATAATTGAATTTAAATCACAAAGAGATGTTATTATCAAAATATATCTGAATTCACTGCCTTTGCATATATTTTGCTTGACTTCATATGGAAAACATTTGCACATTTCCAGCTATTCAATGCAAGAATCACAACACTTCGTAAGCATTGTGGGTTCTATCACTGGATCGTACTATTTCCCCTCCTTTTTCCATACCTCGCATAATAGAAATGAATGACGCTGGCGTTGAGGGCAGAAAATTGAGAGATATTGGTGAATTTTTGCAGGTACAGCATTATCCTTGCGAATAATCCAAATGAGTGTCCCGCCTGTGATCAGGAGTGGTGACGACGGGAATCTCATGTGTCTGTACGACTTGGAAGGAGAGCATCTCTACTCCACGAGGTGGTACAAAGGACGACGCGAGTTCTACAGATACACGCCAAAGGAGAATCCGGCGAAGAAGACTTTTCCAGTGCCAGGAATTAATGTTGAGGTAATGTTTCCGAACTCTTTGATTTTCCCATGTGAAAAGACCTCTTCCACCCCAATCCAATTCACCCTTCTTTTCCCTCTTGAGCAATGGAATTTTCCCCGGGAAAAATTGCAAACTTATCTCTCACTCTCGCCTTATACAATGTTTAAATTTATTATACCTCTCGCAAAGAGAAGAGAGAGAGTGAATCTTTCTGACCGATTCTCCATCGTAATTGAATGATGTGAAAGTATGGACTTTGACTGAATTATCCAGTGGAATTTCGAGCTGTATTAGGGCCGAAGTCTCCCTCATTTTATATCTCCGGTGGAGATAAGAGATGAACGTAAAGTTGAGCACATCGTTGGTTATAAAGTTCTCCATCTAAAATTGACACTGCAGAAAATGGTCATGACGCTAAATAAAATATTTACGATATATCCATAGATTTCTTCGGAATAATCTTCACAAAACAGATTTCCAACACATTTAGCATTAGAGTTTATGGTGAAAAAATTATGACACCCATTTTTTACTGCCCCTCTTCAACCCATTCCGCCCCAAACCTGTCGAGAGTGGCTCATCGCGAACTCACCTGGGATAATTTATTGAAACGAGAGCATGAGATTAGCAAAATATATAAAGTTTTCACGTGTGGATTCCACTAAACATGATAGTAAGCAGTAATCTTGTGATAAAGTAGTGCAAATCCCGGTAAGAAAAGTTGCTCTTCGATGTGCTCGTTAGTAATAGGGCATGATTTATTACGGTATTCCCGCGTTGAAAATATTATTACACATTATGTAGAATGCACATAACTTTGGGGTTCATGATCTCGATGAATCCACTAAAATGCCTCCTGAAATGTGACCCTAAAAAGTGAGCAAACATATGAGAATTTTCACGTGCTTTTAAGCAATTCCGCAATTCCATTAGAGATCGGGAAAAAAATTGTGTTTCACAGCCTTTTTTCCTCGTGATTATTCAGCAATGCTCTAGAGGCTGTGAAGCTTTATGTTTTAATTAAACCACACTTCAAATACGTACGGATTCTCGCAAACTAACTATAAATAGTCATTCTTCAGAATTTCTGCTGACTTTTCTGGTAAAATACGCTCGGAAAATGTAGGCCAAAAAGTTTCATCATCGCACTTGCGATGTGAAGTGCATAATGAGCTCCTTCATATCATATTGCTATCATAATATTTACCCAGAGAATTATCAATTTGTTCTGGAATCTGGTAGAACATCTTGCTGGCATCCACTAAAAATCCAACAAGATTCTTCAAGATTTTCAAACATTCTTGCACGGTTCATATTGGAATTTCACTAAATTATTCTTGTGGCATTCGCAAATGAGAATTCTCGCCGGAGCCAAGCTCATACACAATCCCGGCCATGGCATTCTTTTTGCACTGCGGAAAATCGAGATCGTGGGCGGTTGGGTGGGTAAATTTTTGCGCCAAAGTCGTGTGAAGTTCGCACAACTTCCTTGGCCACGCGGATGAAAGGCAGAATCCGTGGCACGAGTTGAGATTTCACCCATTCAAGTGCCGCCATCGTGCATGCTGGAGATGGAAAACATCGAGTTGTGGTGTAAATGTCTCCTTAATGACTTGCGGTGTGGTCCATTTGAGGATATAATGAGGCCCGCCCGCTTTGTCATTAGTGCCAGACATCCTACCGCCTCCGAATGGCCGCTGACCCACAACGGATCCAGTTGATTTATCATTTAAGTACAAATTTCCGGCAGTCATTCCAAATTCCTCGAGTGCACGTTTCAAGAATTCCCCGGGAAAGTTTGCTAACAGAGTGAAGAACAAGAAAAGGGATCCCACACAGTGAGTGTGTGCTATATATGGTGGTGAAATGAGATGAGAAATGAAAGCATGTGCCGTGGTGGAGAGGAAATTAAATTATCACCAAGACTTTTCACCACTCGCAACGAGTACGAGAGGCCAAAACTATAATAATGAAAAGGAATCAACTCACACTGCCTGCTCCTTGGCGAAAATCACTCCGATCAGGGGGAAAATGTTGCGGTCAACCCAACCAATTTCATCCTCCTGCATTTGCCTTCAATCGGATTCACTGTCTGAATTTATCGTCGGCTCTACAGAGTAACCTTTGCGACTGTCCTGGATTCCCAAAAGCCTCTGTGCGACTCTTTGGCGTGCCCAACGAAGCTGACGATCCGCTCAAAGGCGGCCACAATCAATAACTGCAGCGGGAAAATTGCTAAAATTTGTAGGATTTCCAGCTTGTGGACTTTTTCCGTATTCCCAACAATTCCAATTTGATCTATGGCCAGAGTGATTGCGGCCGCTTTATTTTCGTTTTTCCATTTCAACGGGTGAATCGAGAACTGTGCTAAAAAAGATTTTTCATAAGTTAGGTTTTGTGTATTTTTCACTATTTCCTAAAAAAAACTGACTTTAACTGCAGTATTTTGCAGAAAAGCTTTTTTGATAAACAACCTAATTTCAGATTTCCAAGATTTTACTCAAATATTTGTTTCTAAAGGACTTAAAATGAGAAAATATGACTTTTTTCTATACAAAACTTTGATAAAATTAATTTTTACAGCTGTATAGAGAAAATAGAGTCAAAATTTATTTAAAATCTATTTTTGAACACTAATATTTTCTGTTTATTTATAAAATTTGCACTATATCAGTCAATATTTCAATAAATACAAATAAAATTAACCGAAATCCTTACAAAACAATTATTACAGGGCAATAATTAACGTTTTATCAAACCATTAGTAGAAATCAACGCTAAATTTTCAAGTCACTCTGCTGAAAAATGACTTTACTTTTCATAGTTTTCGTGATTCTCACTTTTTCGTAGTCAAATTGAGAAACATCGCCGCGCATTCTTGATTTGATCACGATCGCAGGCATTAATTCTCAAGCACAAAACTCGCAACTTGTATAAGAATCCACACACACACTCAAGGGTGAAACGTGGAAAAGGGAAAAATGATAATAGTATAAAAGATGTGAACATTTGTTACGTGGCACCACATAAAAGTTTCGCCACTCTCATTTTGAAGCGGACAAATAAGAAGTTACTCGGGGCCAAATGGACGATGCCACATACATCCGAGAGCAGGCTGAGCACTTTTGGCCACACATTCGCAAGTGGAGCGCAGTGTCGTCGCCACAACCGTGTCAATGTGGGCGGATTTGTGGACAAAGTGATAGTTTTTGCCCACCACATTCGCCCACAAGTCGTGGAAAATTCCTGTAATTTGCCACATTTTTGCCCACTTCTCACCACACACACACAAACCCCAGTGGAATGTCCTGCGTGGACGAGAGAGAGAGAGGAAGAGGAAGCGGGAAAAAAGGAAATTTTTCCCAATTACATGCCGTTCATCTCGCTCCTCTGCACAATTGCCGGGCCACACTTTCTTCCACGCCGTCCCAGAAATCTCTGTATTGCAATTTGTCCCCATTTTCTCAAACTGTGCGCTTTTTGTTCCTGCCGCCCATCAGCAGCACACGTCTCTCCACGGTGAAGAGCCACGAGAAAATTGCACCACTTACCGGGCAGATCCCAGTGAAATTGATGCCACTGAGGTGGATGGATTGGGTGATTGTCGTGCCAAAAGTGGGTCCATCAGCGGCAACGAAGTTAACAACACCCGGCAGAGCAGCCTGATCGGCCGGCGGGAGGAGCACAAGGATGATTGTAAATTGAGCATATGCGAAAGCCCCAGATTATTCCACCTGTCTTGCTCGGAACTTTACCATCGCGGCGTCCTGGGAAATTGATTTCGCCCAGACGGAAGAATCCAACATGCGTCTGAGAAAACTTTAGCGAGAATTTAATAGGAAAAGTAGAGCGATTCGCCGAAAGGTACAAAAGAAATGTGACTTAAAGACTTGCCAAAATTAAGCTGTGTTCTTTGTCACGCCGTAAAGAACCCAGAAACTCCCCGAAGATCCACCATTTGGAAGGAATAACCATTTCTGATGACTTCCACGTCACTGAACACCCCCAAAAATGCGGGTGAGACCAAATTGCCTCCAATTGCTGTGAAATTGAATGGACTTATTGCCGCCACGAAGCCCTCGAGGCTTCCCAAATGCATTGTGTTGCGCGATGTTGTTCCGGACGCAAAGGCTGGAATTTGAGCATCTTCATGTGCCGAAGGCATTTGAGTGGAAGAAATCCAGCGTCAATTTTGGCCAGAGTGATCGTTTTCCATTGAACCAGCTTCTGTCGATACTTGATGGTCACGAGGTGAGCTGCACAGTGTCAAATACCTATTTTCTGGCCAACAAGCTCCAAATTCGTGCCTTACAGCACTGGAATTTGCCAATTGTGAACTTAAGAGGGAAAAATTGGGCAACTTTCCCATGAGAATTGGGGATTTTTTCCGCTAATGTAGCTGCAGTGAAAATCACAGCAAATTCGCAATAAAAGTGGTTCTCGGATTGATGAGGGCTTTTAGAATAAATTGTTGTCTATATGGCAATAAGGACAAATCACCTGAAATTCAATGCGAGACGTGCGAAATTCATCATCCCCGATGACAATGGGGATGTCCTCGCAATCGCCCATCATTTCATTGAGCTCTGCCCGCAGGGACTCACGCTCCCAGTCGTGTAAGTAAGAATTGACTCGTTGCAAGCGGCAAAATCCGATAAACCGACGTCTGTTACAATTGATGACGTTGACACAAATCGATCACCGACATTCCTTGTCAGGAATATTGAATCCCATTTTAACGTAAATGATTCTCCCCAGACATTTTTTCCGTGATTGAGCATTTTTTGATCTCTGCTGCGCGTCTCTCTCTCTGCCATCTGATGAAATTATCCTGAAACACTCCCACTATTGAATTTCCCGTGCTTCCTATCTTGCGTCTCCTTTTCTCCTGGTGTTTGACTTTTTTCCGCATTCCTCCTTATGAGTCACAATCTCATTTTGTTAATGTGCAAATGCAAAACTACAGTGATTTTCTCTTTCATGGCGGAAAAATTGCTACCCTAAATTCTATAGAAGCTTCCCTTTGTCATCCGCTCCCGGAAAATAACATAAAGCAGATACTGAAAGCTACAAAATCATATTAATTCTTCATCACTCTCGGATGAGAAAATATGAGAGGTTGTTTATAATGTGAGTGTGGAAAGAATGCGGGAGAAATATCCTCAGCTAAAATGCATATCTCGAGGGTTCCAAGTTTTGTAGTACGCTGGAAAAATATGTTGTGAGGAGGAAATAAAATTAAAATGGTGAAATTGCCATTGTTTCACGCTTCATTTTCCCGGAAAACTGGATGTCAGACACCAAAAAAAAAAAACGGTCACACAAGATGCCACGAATGTGTGAAATTATCGTTGCACGGCTGCAATTGCCGTCTCTGGCGACGAGGTTGAAAGTCTCATTATTTCCTCATTTTGCAAAATGGGATCATCGCAAGAAAACGAGCTTTTTCCGTGGCAACACCCCATATAGTGAACATACACAGCTACTTACCAGCTCTGGCTTATGCTTTTACCTCCTCGGCGCAATAATAGAGGACGTGAAGGAGAAAGTTTGCAATAGAGTTTTGGCAGACGAGTTGTGATATCGTTAGAAAATCACTCATCCTGATTGTTCCACTCAAATAATAATGTTTATGAACTTGCCATGGGTATTGATGAATACTACAAAACACCCGTAGTTCCGTGAAAGCTCTCTCGCTTTTGGCTGTAATCCGTGTTAATCTTGGAGTGAAGACTGCGCACTAGCGAAGCATAATAAATATCAGACTAATAGATGCTTAATACCCTTTAAAAATGTTAATTTTCAGCTAATTTGCATCAGTCCCCATATCACTTTTCTCAATGGCGTGAGAGTCAAGGCGACGCGACGATTTGATTAGAGCGATCCCAAGTGATGCTTTCCGCAGCTCGCTGCGACAAAAGTCCTATCAGGCATCCTCCCGGAGATCCTCTCCGGGCATTAAGGCCCCATATTGACGTGGCGCAGTGTTGTGTTAGCGCCTGAAGCAAGAGCTTAACAAGATGTATTATTATTGCATTATGCGCCACACCCCAAACTGCACGGCAGTCTTGCCCAGCTCCGAGGCTCGCAGAGGAGGAGCGCTCAACTTGGAGGCTGAATATATAGTTATTGTGCATTAAACAGCGAGCATTGCAGTTATACAAATGTGTTTGATGGCCGCGAAGAGTGTGTGGACGGGGAAATTGCCTCTTTTCATCCCAGGCTGAGCGCGGGATAAACATTCGCCCAGCTAAAATGCCGCATTAAATGTTGTTGGCAAGCTCCACTTCATCCACCACGTTCTTTTTTTTTTGACTCTCGCCATGGCGCAAAAAATGTAGTTTTGTGTGTATGTGTATCTGTTTTGGGTGGAAGGCATGCAGATATAAATTTCAATTAAGGTCCTTTTATCCCTAACTCCATTTCCTCTTCCACTTCGTTCGCCCTGTGCGAGCCTCAATAATTAAAAAGATTCACACAGACACTTTTTTATTGCAAACTTTTATTATCTTGTGTCCGGATTAAGTGTTTCCCAGCCCTTGTGTCTCTCGCATTGCTCAAGGACCGCATCCCTTGTGCTCCTGCTCTCACTTCCTGCGTCCACCTACAGAACATTGTCTTTCCAGACCCGTTCATCCTTTTAATTACAGCAATTAACAAAGTGTTTGATGCTACTTTTCCGCTTTCTTCGGCCACCTTCCACTTCATTGCAGATAAGCAAGTCAAATGCAAGTCACATAACTCTCAACTCGGTGGAGCTCTCGAGTTCTGGCAGATACAGTTGCGAAGTCACCTTGGATGCACCATCCTTCATGACGGGATTCATATCCAGTGATCTGGAGGTTGTTGGTAAGTCACTTTTTATCCATTTAAATTCAACTCACTCATTTTCTTGCACACTCCGCAAACACACACACATCTCTCTCACTCTCTTTGTCCACTTGACACAAAAACCCACCTTTGATATGGACACAGAGTTGAGAAGCGGCGATGTAGTATAGATTGAAAACCACATGCATGACTCGACTTGAGTTCACTCGATTTAAATCCCAGAGAAAGTCATTGTGGCGGACTCAAGACGGCAGCCGGACGCTCAATTTGCTCTGGAGGTCATAGAAGCAATCATGTTTATGATAATAGTAATATGAATTTCTGGCCTGTTGCTCTGCCAACTAAATTCCGTTTCCGCTCCTCAGACAACGTTATATCTAAGCAAGAGGCATCTCCGGTCCTCAAACGCCCACAATTTGCAATACACTCCGTAACATCTTCCATTGATAGTGACTTGGATAGTGATGAGTAGAGAGAGAAATTGAAAACCTTGGGAGATCAACACCCCAGATAGTGAGGCAAAGGATGCATTTGAGACCGAATTTCCTGCCACTCATCTCGATATCTCATCCAGTATCGATCCAGGAGCCGGGGAGTCATCAACTCTGGGTGATGTGGAGACAAGAGGAGAGTGTACAGCAGGAGCACAGATATGTGGGGTGGATCGAAAGAAGTATCGGGGGAGTTGGGGGTAATTTTCCATTTTCATATTATGTAATTTTCCATCTCTCCGCCAGCGCACTTATAAAAGAAACACCATATTCATTCCCACCCTCTCATCCACATATTATCCGCTCTACCCTCAGTCAAATGCTTTTTATGTGCACCATCGTACATAAGTGGCAAATGGGGTTGGTTCACTTGGCACAATGAGAAAGCACTTATCGGATGCTGAATTTAAATGTATTTGGTCGACACTCACCCCACAGGAGTGTCTCCTTGTGCCACTTGAGAGCGCCGACGATGAGGACTTTGCCGCCTTTGCAACGCATCGACGTCTGGAGTGGGGCGTTGGTGGGGGAAAAAAAATGAATGTATGCCATTCAAATGGAAATATTGTTAATATCGATCTTCTTTTTGCACCCATGAGAGGAGAGCCTGATTTTTTGCGAGCCCCCAGAGCTGGGCGAAAGTTAAGGGGGGATGTAATTTTGGAGGGTGGCCGGGCAGAAAGTGTGTGAAATGAAAAATGAAATTTATAGTGTTGGGAAATTGGTTTCCTCCAATCTCTTCAGCAATGTTCGATTCAATATCGAGATTGGCATAAGGAAATTTTCTTCAAAAGAGATCTTCTCTCTCTCCTCATCTTCCTCGCACTCTTGTCGCTCTGTGGTGCTGAGGGTGTGTGTGTGTGCAGAAATCAGGACATCCTTCTGCATCCTACATAAGCTCAGCCGTGCGACGGAGGGATATTTTCCATCCCAGAGACGATAGACATGATCGGAGGAAATCTCTTTCACTATATCGCTCCCAGAGTATGTGGAAAAATGATAAACTCACCGAGAGTTGCGTAATGCATTTAATACTGACATTCAACACTGTGTGAACATGAAAACTCTTTTATACACTTTACATTGCGACCCCAATTCAGGCCACCCTTTGGCAGGCGAGCCATTTATCCGGCACAAGTGCGATATGGCATGTTATGAATCACATGACACGGGCAGAATGACAATTTCTCAAGGGGATCATAAGCACATTACCACAGTCTAATCAATAATTGAGAACATTTTCAAATTAGGCTCAGCTCTGGAGCCTAATCAGGGGAGGGAATCTCAATTTGCCCAAATGATTTTACGCTAATTTTCGAGCATATGTCTCGACTAATCTCACAATTGAGCTCCATAAGGTGTGTAATGTATGGATAAGGAAGAATAGCTTGTACTTGAGTGTAATCAAGTAAATTCACCATTCTCCATTGTACGATTAATGTCGCATCATCTGAGCATGTATGTTGAATGAAATGACACATGAATAGCATAGGAAGAGCATAGAAAAACTGATGAGAAGTTATTTTTTTTGTAATTATTCACTGCAAAATCACGTGTCAGCTGCATTTATCAATTTTCACAAAATTCAATAAGTCATTTAAATTTTAAACAGCTTTTATTATGCTGAAAAATGTTGGGTGAAAGAGCTTGTGAAAGAGTGCTTTTATGCAAAAATGTTTTCTATAAACGATATATAATTTACCGCGATAATATTTCATCACTCTTCTGAAGCGATGGCAAAATTGATATTAAAATTAGCAAATATGGCAAAATAATAGATAGAAAATCAATTTTTTCTCTCTCTCTCTTTTTGTACACACTTTGCAAACTACCTGTATATCTGGTGATTACGTAAATTGCCGCACACTCAAATGATACATATCGGGCTAATGTATTTTACAATTTCATTTACGAAAAAGTGAATAAATTGATAATGTGAAAATTGAGGTCAAGCGTGGGGAAAAAATGTGAAATGATTGGCAATTCTCGGATGGATTAATAAGTCCATCAATATTTGCTGTGCTGCTAAAGCGTTGACATTGATTAGCTATTGCCTTTTTCCCACAAAGTTCCGCAATGCAAAATGAAGAAGTTGTTGACCCAAATAAATCCCCTGAAAGGTTTCAGCACGGCGAACAATCACGCGGGGACATTTGGTGGGGTGTGAGGTCGTGGCTGAGGAAAAAAGACCTCTAAAATATGTGCAAACACGGCGTGGAAAAGGGATAAAAGGGTGAGCCTCTGCGGGTTTGCATCAAAAGAGAAATCGCGCGGTGACTCCTTCTCAAATTTCAACCCCTCGCTCTCTCTCTCGAGTGCTTGACCTGTCATGAGCACCAAAGGACGCCAAAGAATCCCAATTGCGCTATCGCAACCACCCTGGGGAACATCAAGTGGGTTACAATTCACGTGCTCACCTGAATAACTCACAAAAGTTTGCACGGATTTCATAGAAATCAAGGTGAATTTCCCAGGTAACAACGTATCCCAAATTGCTTGTGAAATTCAAGTCTCAGGAGATTAATCGCTCAGCATTTTGAGCTTTTCGAGGGAAACCATTATTCGACACTGTGTTCATTAACTTACCATGCCAAGAGTCTCGAGTGTATTTGCAAATTAAGTAAATTCACCAGCACAACATGGATTTTGGGATGTGCAATTAGAAATTTGTAATATTGTACAGAAAGTACAATAAAAAAGGCTTTGGATAAATACAATTATAATCGTGATTTACAGATAAAGAATATGGACAGGCGAAAGTTATTAGTCGGTGTTGAATCTGGAACAACAATATAAAAGTTTATCCAATTGTTTTCTCCAAATTTATTTCCTCTCCCTCTGTTATATATGAGTATTTGAAACTTTTCTCAAAACTCTCACATGTTCTCCTCTGACAACGTGTTGTTTAATGTATATTTCCCAGAAAGAGCATGGTTATCTATAGGAAATCGAACATAAATTGCTGCTGAGCGAGTATTATATTAAATTGGCATTCTTTCGGGGAAATATAATCAGTTACATGCGAAGAAGGAAATGTAAGACAGTTGCCTCGCAGGATCAATAGTATTCTAAAATACATGCCGGGAAAAGCTGATAGATGTGCGACTTTCTCAGAAGATATGGCAAGAATGATTGCAAAGTGATGTCGTGTAAGGAGCTTATTAGAGTTCAGAGACGTTCATTTTGAAAATTGATCTTTCGCCCTTTAAGCATCATCCCGGAAAGATTATACGCTTCGTCTTCTCCATGTTAGTCGCTTTTGAGACATTGCACTCACTGCACTCTTGCTAAATATAATTACATTATAGCTCCAGTGGTCGTGCATATTGCAGGGTGTATTATTTTTTATTGAAATTCTTTTCTCTTCCCCCACCGGAAAAAAGTGAAACCCTTTTAGTGAACAACAAAATATTTGAGTAACTCCCAAGCACAGCACGATGAAAGCTTATGAACACTCCGGGGAGAGTGTAATCAATCGAGAAGGAAGATTGTACACGCTTCTTGGAGCGGAAAAACATTGGGAAGATGACTGAGAGCTGTGCAGACGTTCAATTTGAGGGGCGGTTTGAAATTTTATTGACTCCACCGCGAGACTCGACTTTGGCGGGGAAAATCAATTGACTCAATAAAGCGCGGTTTGAATTGAGTTATTTGTTGGCAGAGCGATTGTCTATTTTAATTTGATTGTGTCAACATCATTTCAATTGCACCATGGCAACTAAATGCAATCCAATGTGTAATAAACTACTTGAATTGGATTCACTTTGCGAGAATTCTCGCCGTCAAGTTATGTCGAATGAATTCTCAAGCGACTGCGAAATAGTCATTACGGCGCTTGTTGCCATTAAAACTTTTCTAAATTCAACTCTTCAAAGTGGTTATTTGACTTTGAATGATTTGATTAATTCCACTGGAATTCCTCTTCTATCGCCTTCTTCCGTTTCGTATGTAACGAGAATGAAAACCAATTTTAAACGCATTATCATCAATTTTTCAATTTGTGCAATTTCTCTCTTGTTACATTCTTGCGGAAAGAACTTTTATTGATTTTTCTCACTGTGTGCGTTTTTTCCTCTCTCTCACCATTTTCTACGTTTTCACAGAATTTCCACAGCAGCGACCATCAATAAGTGGCGCCAAATTGAAGTATCGAGTGGGAGACGTCCTCACAGCGAATTGTTCATCGAAACAATCAAAACCAGCTGCCAATCTGACGTGGACAATAAATGATGCTCAAGTAAATACAAATTCACTCACATGTGGATTCCTCTTCTGCTCCTCTTCACGCTCATCCTTCAGCCACTGCGCGCTCCTGTTTTTCGTCTTAGGCAAAGAACACCCCTGAATGGGGGCGAGACAGTCGCTGTGGTCGTGGCAGAAGGACGAGAAGTGGAGATTTTCCGGGGGGTGTTCAACGTGAGCGAATCCTGAAGGCCATTTTGAAGGGCCTTCGCCAGGGTTGCACACCCCCTGACGCTGAATGCGGGCGAAGAGAGCGTGTAAAAAATAGAGGAGCGAATATATACAAGAAACTAATATCTTTTCAGGCTAGTTCATCCCACGTTCGACTGTACAAGCCAGTGAAGGATGAGACAACAAATTTGGAGACATCAATTCTTGGAGTACATTTCCTTGTAGCGCGTCAGTATTTTTTACAAGGAAAATTGAAGGTATCCCAGAAAGTAGCAATAATAATGTATTATAGTCAGTGTCAAGCTGAGCAACACTCCTCTATATCTCATATGCATGATGGTGATAATTTTCCACTTTTTCCCTTAATATATTTTATTACAAAAAGTGCCGAGGATGAGCGTGAGACACATGAGGTGGCTTTCGCTCGCCCCATCTTCACATGCGAGACTCTCTCCGGGCGAGAGGGGTGTAAATTTGGATGTGGTGACAATTTTTTCGGGTGAAGACCAGAGAGCATAAAAAAAAATTCCGTGGAGCTCATATATATGTATATAAATTGCTGGTAACACAGAAAAATGATGGTTGTGTATTTTGCCACCATATAAACATACATTCACATTTATAAAAATATATTACTAGAAAATTTATGTTCATCATGAACATGAAACATTCTACCGATATATATTTTTGCGAAAACACACTTCGCACAATGGTTTCGGCCGCGCGCGTGTGGAGTGAGTTGAGCCAAAATCCTCCTCTCAATATTTATTGTTGCTCACAGGCAACAATGCCCCAATGTTGTCTCTCAGCATCCTCGCCACGTATTATTTCCCAGCCCTCGGGCTTTCGCTGTAATTTGCCACGCATTGCTAAAATGGGAATTAATTGCGATAGATTAAGTGCACCGCCCAAATCTACAATGTCTACAATCAATCCACGGAGCAAATTCTGGAGGAGGATCGACCGCAGGTGGTGGTGTTGTCGTCGGATTCATCGCCTCTGGGGCCGCCCAACGTCAACATGGTCCACTCGCCGTATGATCAATCTTCATTGCACGACGAAATCGAGAACGATGCATTCATGACGCACATCCAAGGTGAGACCACGGCTATGCCAAGCACCTTCCTCCAGGGACAGCCCGGGAACCGCAACCAAATGGCTTTTTAATGTCCCACCCGCATTTGTTGCCGCCGCTTTCGCCCGGGCGTGCTCCTGACAGTGGATGAGGTGCTAATGCGGGGCTTCTCAATGCGAACACGGGGGAAATAATCGCAAGGGCGGCACTCAATGGCGGCGGCCTTAATAGATTTCTTGGCGTAGGCGCAGGATGATTGAAGAATCATTTAACTTTTCAATCACAGCCTCCATAAATCGTATTTTTCCTCCCCCAAACATTCAATATTTTCTTCTCTTAATTCAACGCAGAATTTTTTTACATTCAATGCAAAAGAAAAACACACAATTGACGAACGGATAAACCCAAACAGTTTTGCGTTTTTATTGTGATTTTGTTTAGTGGAGCCAATTCTTGAAAATCCACAAGTTTTCTTTAAACTTTTGAGCACGAAATCGAACTTTCTCACCACACCTTACCTTTCCCTTTGTGATTTTACTCAAAAGATTTGAACCTTTTAGACGAAATGCCATAAAAATTCTTGCTCATTATGGTGGAAAATCCCTTTCAACTGAAATTTCTTTTGATTTTTCAACTCGGATTTAAAAGTCAGTATCCAAGAAATCTCTTAAGCAGTGCATGGAGTTTCCCGTGAACTCTTCGTCTCTCAGGGAAATCCCCAACTGAGAATGGATCTTAAATTTCCCCCCCAATAAAACTGCCCCACTTTTCTCTATGCTTCAGATAGTCTCGAAAATGTATAAAAGCATATCGCCTCAGGTCAAATATCCGTTTCACAGAATAATATCCTTCTCCCCAATATCTATTCGGCGATGGTTGTCAGAAACTTGTGCATATTTTGCCGAGAAACACTTCCACATGTACTGATTGAAGGCAATTTGACGGGTTAAATTTAATTGAGACCGAAGGGCATTTGGGGTGCCACCCTTCGAACCCCAAAATCACTTTAACAGTCGGGTTGAAGGATAATAAAATTTTCCATGAGATAAATTATTTCGACACTTGGATTCGTGATTGATATATTGGACAGTGATGAATTCACACATTGGGAAGTGTTTGCAAATTTCTCAAACTGCCTTATTTATTACCCAAATGCTGGTGAACTTTTGCGTTGGCACGCAGGAAAATTCGGTTATATTGGCCACATTGCTGATGAATCGTGTAAATTATTTAAATGCTCGTTTTGGGGAAAACTTCCGACAGTCCAGAATCTCCGTTCATCACACAATAATAGGACATAATTGCCGGTTATTAGCAAATTGCCTGCAATATTGACGTCTGTGGAGTTGAATCGGGAGGTCATTCATCATTTGGCACTGCACCTTGGCGATGTTTTTATCGCACCAAGGAGGCGCCATTATTCGTAGTCTCTTCAGGACTTCAGGCTCATCTATCGCCATATATAACGAGTTTGAATGCTATTTATCCGGTGTTGAGGGTGGGGGGAAAAGTGAATTTATCGATGATAATCAATTTTCATCGGGCCACATGCTCGCTCAGCACGTTGTGCGGGGAAAATGAGGCGAAAGATGGCTGGGAAGTGTTTCCACTCCCCCATGATTTATATTTATTTATTCTTTTCCAGCTGATATGTCATCATCCAGATCCCCAATTACAATTTCGCCATTTGCTTGTCTCTGGTGGATCTCATTAATAACAATTACATCAGCACTGTTACACTTGATGAGTGTTGAGCTCTACGCAGCCATTGCACTGTTGGATTGAATTGGCGTGGCATCGGCATCAAAGTCACGGACAATGGTGGCCAGAGCCCCAGATCAGATGTCAACGAGTAAAATGGGGGGGATATTATATGTCTTCTTTGACGGATAATAATTATTTTCTGGCCAAATTGCTCACCCAAGTCCGACTCTCTCTCGCACTTTGATTGAGGATCTCAACATTTTATTGTTATTACTTTTAGGAGGAAAAATACAAATGTAATAATAAGTATAATAGAAAAGCATGAGAGTGTGGAAGCTACTTCAATCTGATAATTTTTCACTCTGACATGTGGGGAAAAACAACGAGGCGATGGAATGACGGGGCAGAATGGAAAATTTTGCTGTGAGATGAAAAATTGAGAGATATGAAACTGTTTCAGCATTAATTCTGTCTTGGGTGCTGAGCGCATATGAAAGAGAGGAGGCGGGGGGGACACTCTGTGAGAATAGGCGAAAAAAAAGTGAAAATAGAACTTAAATTAATGAAACATTATTACTAAGTATGAGTGACTTTCGCAGAATGTCGAGAATTTTTCAAACTTCACAGGGTGCTTCAAGTTTGTCACTTCAGAGAGATTTTTCTTCGCAAAAAACCATCAAACTTTCTTCGCATTGACGCAGAGCGGACAGATAGAGTATTTTTTTCCCAAAAATTCCTTCATTATGCTCCTCTTCAATTTTCCTTCTCCTTCAGACCTTCTCCAAGTCGCCCCAGACTAAGCAAAATATTTCTTCTGTCAATAAGTATTTGATGAAAACAAATTGACAAATCACAGACAGAGAAAATATTTGACTGTCTCTCTTCGTTGATTTATGCAATTCTGCACATGATCCGCCGACCTTTCCTTCTCTCCCTATTTAACAAGTTCCACCTCGCTTGAAAAGAAAAGCCTAATCGATGAAGCACCCTCAACGCATACAACGGTGGAAAAAAAATGTAAGAGTTTCCGTAATTACCAAAAAAAAAGAAAAGAAAGAAAATAGCTACTGTGTGTACGAATTTCAATAATTTCTAAGACATAGAAAAACCATTACGTGAAGAAAAGTTTGATAATAGAACAAATGTAGTGGAATTTCTTGAAAAAAAAAGAAGAATCCCTCACGGGCGAGTGTATATAAAATAAATAAAAATATGGACTTAAGCTTGAAGAAAACTGAAAATTGTACATAGTGAAATGTGTATGTATAGAGGGATTTATGATTTTTTATTGTGACGCTTCTTCCATCCCTTTTCCAGTTGTGGTGGACGAGAATAAGAGAAAAAAAAACCACCAACAAAATTGACTCTGGTTATATAAATGTGTATATATTAAATGATTGAATGGCTGTATATAGATTGAAGAATGGTGAAGAAGGAAAAAAATAACATTGGAAGAACAAACCGAGTATTAGGAGAAAATTGATGGAAAATCGACTACAAAGCAATTGGCCAAGCTATAGGTCACTCAACCATTTTCCAATTAACTTTATTTACTTTTCATCGAAATGATGGCAACAACAATAATGAATATTGGGTTTTATTAATAATCTAAAGTACCTCGAGGGGACGAGGCGCGTCTCCGCCCAAACTACCAACTTTCTCACCACCCACAAGAGTATTACAATATACGGTAAATAAATTTATTGTTTCGACCTTTCAAACGAAAAACTGGCTCATCCCAAAAACTAGAAACTAATTGAACAGACCTATTTAGGTTCAGAATAAGTATGATAAATTGAAATCAACATAGATGAGAAAGGATTAACTTGTACTGATAGTATGAAGTGGATTATGAAGTAATATTAAAAATGATAATAATTGTTAGATTGATGTTTATTACATGAAATGGAAAAAAAAGAAAAGACAACAATAAATATATATGACTTTTATCATAAAAAGCAAGATTCTGTGATGAAAGAAGATCCTCTCCCGCGAGATAAGGCGTAAATTAGAAAAGAGGCGCGCAATTCACAGGTGAGTGTTAATTAATTAATAGGATAATTTATTAATTCGCAAGTATTAAAACATGAAATAGAGCATTTCCTTGAAGACGTTTCCCCACTTGACAGATAATAAATTAACATGAACATTTATTTCGCTGACAATTCAAGGAATTAATTAAAAATTCTCTTTTCTGTTCCACGCCCCGTGATATTAAGTCTTGAGCTGAGCTGAGATGTGAAAGGGGGTGGCGCTTCACCCGCCACGGCTCCTCATTCACCCCCAATTCCATCCACAGAAGGTCAGGGGGTGGGGCGGGAGAGTGTAAGACAACACAGTGGATGAAGAATGAATCTCAGCTTCAAGTCAATTCCATGTCAGACATTACAATAAAGCTCCATCATGATATGCATTGAGTTCTCATCATTTCATCTTTTCTCGAATTCATTTACACTCCCCGCCCCAACTTCTATGCATATTACTTGCGCGATGAGTGCAGAGGGTGGGAGGAAAACTTTTAAAAGATCTATCATATTCACTTTTGTCTTTATTGCCACCACCCCCTGTCCCGCCCAGTCTATTCAATCTCAAGAGTTGTGCGGCATCTTCTGCGATGGCAAGGCGGCGAAATTACCATAAGAATGATGTACAGACATTCTGTTCTCGCACAACACAATGAGAAGCACGAAGTGAGGTGTACTCCCTCACCACTTGATGATCTCTCGTTGTCGGCAAAATTTGCGTCCATCGTCTGCCTTCTGGAGAAGTTCCAATGCTCTGGGTGTCTGGAGAAGCACCCTCGAGTCGGTGTGAAGAAAAGGAGGACATAATTGTCTTGTTTATCGCTCATCGAACAGACGACTATGAGGCACTTGTGTAATTTTTAGCGTGGAATGAGATGGATAATTGTGTAATGGAGACACCGACAGAGGCATGGATGGGGCTGTAGAATGTGCACCGCTGCCGATACACTTCAGGAAGTTGAATTTAATGAGAAAACCACATCAACACCGCAGTTGAATTAACCCTTTTCCAGAAATTTATAGTCACACCTGGTGTCTCCCTTCAGGTGCCATGTTGGGGGTGTTCACAAGCCACTCTGCCCCTTCCGTTCTGTGCGCTATTTGGGATTTCGGGCGCTCGGCTAGTGGAGAGAGTGAGAATCAAGGGGGAGATAATACGACTAAACAGTGTACATCACTTCAAGACAGTTCCAGAACTGCAGCAGTGCTTGAAACATGTGTGTTCCTTATTTTCTTCTCCTTTCTCGGAATTTCATAGAATTTTTCAACCACTTAAAGTATCATAACCTCAAATTTAGGGGGTTTTTGACCCAAAAATTAACACAATTTTTACTTTTATTAGTCTGAAAACTTGCGGAGATACAATTTATGAGAAATATTTGAAATTTTGAGCAAAAATTTTGATGTGAATCGCTTTTTTAGATGAAATTTGGATCATAACCTAAAAATTACCTGAAAGAATCTTGTTCGAAATATTTTAAAGTCATATTTGGGGAATATTAATCTATTTTAGAGTAAAAAATCAGTCAAACAGTTCTCGAAATAGACAATTTTGTATCCCGAAACAATATTTTAGAGGTTATGATCAATCTTCGTATAATTAACACAGTTTAACATTGAAAGCTTGTAATCTTCATCAGAATATTATTCTGCAAATGAAGTTGATGCAAGAAAGAATAATTTTTGATGTTTTTTTTATGTAAAAGTATGTTTTAAATTCATAACTTAACCTAGAAAAATGTAAAAGAAAAAACAATTCTTTTTCTCCAAGTATTGCCGTAATTTCTATTGAAAGTAGCTTTTGAACGCACTAAATTCATGATATTGAGACATTTCGAAATACTCCTGCTGAGTTGTACACCACTGGTGACCATTATATCTCCCCCTTGGTGTGAAGAAGTGCTGGGCATTCGATGGGGATTTCTCCTCTCACCTGACCTGTGCTGCCACCTCGCCACATTGCACTATTCTTGACGTATTTAGAATTTAATCAGGGATGAGCTTCACATTGCAATAACCGGAGAGAATCTATTGGCAAAATGCGATACATGACTAATATTGTTGAGAATTATTGATATATATATTGATCGAATATTTGGAATATAAACAGCAAATTTGACTAAATGTTTTTGGCATCTCCAGCAATTTCAATTTACATACAAATTGTAGAGAATCGCCCCATCTCTTCGGCTGGAAGAACACTGGCGTCTTGAAATGAGTGCGGCGAAGTTAAGGAAAGAACGGAGACATGGTGGAGAAAGTTGTCTATATCACCCACATTGTATTTCTATATATTACACGAAGCAACAATCTACTAACTTTTCAATTAAATTGAATTACACTTTATTAAGCTCCTTAATTGGATTTCATGTTTACGTACATATTTTAAGCTTAACTATTTTCTCTTCTCCAGCACAGAAGACAAATGCTGTACCTGGAATTGGCGAAGGTAGAGCAGAGGTGAGAGATGTTTCAGAGGCTGATGTGACGCAACCCTATCTCTACTTCCCTATATATGTGGGTGGGTTTAGGGAATAGCTCAATGGAATTGCGGTTGCAATACCATAAGTAGTTATTTTATTCCCACAGAGACGGCGATGGAGAGAGCCAATATTTCGAGAATTTGTTCCACTCAACAACTTCAAATGAGCGTTTGTATATTTTGGATCTCTCGAAGAAAGCATCGCTCGATCCAGCTCACGAAGCTAAAAAGAAACTTCACTATCTCTCTCGCTTATTTTTCCTCTTCAACATAGAAAAATATGTACTTGTGCTATCCATAAAGAGAAAATTCTTATAGCGCAGAGAAAGTGAAAAAGAAGGAAGACGACTACTCAAAAGTATCACCATTGAAAATCGTCAATATCGACATTTTTCCTACTTTTCTCACAATATTTGTACATTTTCATTCTTCATATACATTTTTCTCACCGCCTGCAGAAAAACTCACATATAAATAAGGCAACTAAACAGGGTTGGTGTGCAATATTTGAGATGTACATACCGAACAGTTCCTCCTCCGGCCGGATCCCACCCTCTTCCGCATGCTCCATTCACCCCCTGTGCACCCCTCAGTCAAATGATATGCCAATGCTTGTATATTTTCGCTCCTCTATTGACAATATGTATTTGAAAATCTGGAAATATTCCAAAAGGAGTCGAATTGTGTATCCCAATCAATTTTATCCACATATCTTGCCTTTTTTCCTCACACACACACACACACACACAAGTGGATGGTTCAGTAAGTATCGTAAATACCAAATGGTGGATTTTTAGACTCCTTCTAAGAAAATACACAAAAACAGAATTTTCCAACAGTTATTGTATAGGAAAAGGTTCTCCAACTTCCATCAATATTCATTCCTCTATCCTCAAAGTGACTCCTTTTCTAGCTTCCAAAGTCTATTATAAACTGGGCTTTCTTTCTCTCTCTATATATGAATGTGTGCCGAGAGGAATATGTTGAAATTCATTCATTGTGATGATTCTAATTTCGAAGAATTTATCTGGAAATCTCCTTGGAAATCTCCAATTCTCGTGAGTCTATGGAGAAATGAATGAGCCGAATAATGCCTGGAGGCAAGTCATAAAATACATGTGCCCACGACTGGATGAGAGAGATTGAGATTCAATAAATTCTAATTGCAAGTATTTGTCCCAGATTGAGCTGTGAGAATTAGAGACGGAGCGAATAATTGGGACACTTATCGAGTGAGTGAATTCAGAGGCACACAGTCTCTCGGCAATATTCAAATGAAACAATAAATTTCATCCCTTTTATCGATAATTTCATTTCGCAGCACCCCCAATGATGCCATGCAAATGGATTGGGAGCAGCCAGTCAAGGTGAGAGAGTCGCTGTGTATCGCTTGGCGGGTGGGAGACAAAGAGCCCTCATCCATTTCAATCTGATTTTCAATTTAGAGATGAATAAATTCCACGAGGACTTTCTCCGCGTCCTCATTGGATGCGGAGAGACTCTGGAAGAAATCTCCATCATTCATGCAAACCGGTTGGAATATTTTATAATTTCATCTCACTCTCTGTGGCTCTTGATCTCTTTCTCTATAAATTGGCTCTGTGTGCTGCCTTGAGAGATGTACACAGAGAGAAAAGGGGTGAATGGGAAATCTTTACCCGGCACAGGAGAGTCAAAAGAGCTGCGGATGAAGAAGCAATTAAGCGCCTTGGGGTTGCGAGCATCTTCAGGTTTACCGTGTTGTGATGTTTAACGGCATAATATGTTGATTTTAGTAGTTTATTAGATTACGACGGGTAAAATCAAACACCGAATCCACTTGAACTCCTCTGCTTCCTATCTCTCCATCCGTCCGAATCAGCCACCCCGCGCCCTGTGCCGCAGCATCCCCGTGGCAGAGAGTGCCTCAGCATCCCAGAATGACAAATATTTATTGCCAACAACATCGTCGTGTGAGTCTCAGCTTCCCACCCTCGCACACACACACCCCAGTGTCATCGGGCAATGTATATTTTATACACAAAACTATGTACCTATGTAGCGCGCTGTGCTTTCAATAGCAATTTCCCAATTCCAGTGCTTATGGAGGCAAAAGGAGTTGGGAGACTGATGCGATGGATGGGAAATAAATTTCAGCAGAGGGGCTTCTAGTGTTGTTTTTAGCATATTCACACGTCGTCACTTTGTTGTAACTCGCACCCTCTTCCGGTCGCTGCCGCCCACCCTCCCCACACACACCCCCCAAAGAGCCCGCCGCCGCCGTCGTCGTGGCAAATCTACCAGCGCACACGCTGAGCAAGGTGTGAGAGAGTGTAATATGAAGTTGGGCGGCGGCGTGTGGGATGGTTTGCTGGAGACGTGCCGTGAATTGGAAAGAATTTCAATAAATTGGTGAAAATTGTACAAAATACACACTCGCGACACGTAAAACCTATTTTCACATTGAAAATTA